CGAGATAATTGAATATTCGCTTAGTCTCGCATCCACGTGTGAATTTATGATGGAAATCAAGATTAAGAAGATTTATGAAACTTCACCAGTACCTTCGGATTATGCGTGCCCTTCGGATAATACAGAAATACTTCTAGGAAATGCTTCAATTTACAGGTACCACACGGCGTTGTTGTTATAACAGTACAATATCGACTCGGTTATTTGGGATTTTTCAGTACTGGTGATTCAGCGTGCGTTGATAATTTAGCGTTGTGGGATATGACGGCCGCATTGGAATGGGTCAATCAGAATATTGCTGCATTCGCCGGCAATCCGAACAACGTTACTGTGTTCGGACAAAGTGCTGGTGGTGCTTCAGTGGATTTACTTTCGCTGAGTCCCGTTTCACGAGGTGCCTTTCGTTAGTCACAGCTTTCCACAAATATCCTTCGAAAGTCCCATCGTTAAAATTGATCAATTCATCGCTTCGAGTCTAAAAGCAATCCATTCCTTTGATCAATAATATCGTCGAAATAAAGTGTTAATGTTGCAGATTTATTCCACAAAGTCATCCCAATGTCTGGAAATGCGTCGTGCGAGTGGGCAATAAATGAGGACGTTATAAGAACGTGCATACAGTTTGCAGCCAAAACTGGTGTGGAAGAAACAAATACCGTTGAGGTAGGTTCATATGAACGTTCATCTCATACAGAACCTATATACCAGATTTGCTGTAACTTTTCAGTCATCAATTTAGTGTTCAGTGATTGCTGTCAAAAATGGAATATGGTAATAANACTTTTCAGTCATCAATTTAGTGTTCAGTGATTGCTGTCAAAAATGGAATATGGTAATAAATGAAATACATGAAACTAAATGATCCATTCCTACACCCAACGATAGAACCCCTCAAGCTGATCATGAGCTTGTTGTAAGAAGTCAACTCATCTAATAAGCAATGTTCTGATTCACTGCATAAATTTTTCAGATACAGAACCATGCACTGGACTCATAGGAATTGTTTGAAAAGAATAAAACACAGATTCACCGAGCAAACCTATATTCATGTAATAATGTTGATTCCGTTTTCTTAACGCCTTGAGAGTAACTATTGATCAACTGTTCAGTTTATCAAAAAGTTACGAAAAGTTGATGCGATGAAATTTGCCACATCGTTGAGAGCACTCAAGAACGAAACAAGAACCATAAAAACTGAAATCGGGCCGCGCGTTGATGGCAATTTTTTGCCGAAACATCCGAGGGAGATGCGGCTCGAGGCACCTATAAAGCCAACATTAGTTGGCACATGCCAGTACGAGGGTTTGCTATTCCGTAAGTTCGGTTCTTTTTTAATTTAATGATTTCTGATTTAATATGTGATGTATGGGTTGCATTCAAGAAAAATTTTGTAATTCCGTTTGTCGCAGCTCCGGTTAACATTCACAGTTAATTATTACACCGGATGATCCTTGAATGGCTCAACTCAAAAATGGCATTCTTCATTAATGAGTGACCGAATATACAAAAAATTGCA